GTAGAGGGGCAGCAGGGAGTAGAGGGGCAGCGGGCAGTAGAGGGGCAGCAGGCAGTAGAGGGGCAGCAGGGGTGTGGAATTCCTATCTCCCGATGCCCGGGGACATGCAGTTCCGGGTGCCGGGCGGGTAGTTGTTAGTCCGGCTTTGGGCAAGCAGAGGTAGATGTAACACCGCAATGATGGGATTTCATGGGTTCCAGCAGGCGGAACGTTCCATAATCCTTCTGTAGGGGACTCGGGATCCCATCCGGCCTTCACGGTGAATGATTGGCTAGACTCCATCAAGATGGGCCAGTACAAGCAGAACTTTGTGATAGGAGGATACCGCACCCTGGGGATGGTCATGAGGATGAATATAGAGTGAGTGGACTGGAAGGACACAAAGTCAAGAACTTCTACAGTAATAAGCACCAAAATCAGCCAATGAGTGAGAGGGGGCGGGGGGAGGGGGTGATAATGAACCTGCGCCCAGTGCGAGAAAGCTTTACAGCGCCCCGCAGTGACCACACCCCTCAGTGGCCACACCCCCAGTAACCACACCCATTCCCCCCAATATACGCACCATTTAAAGACTCCCATTTTGTGAAGCCGCAAACAAAAATATATTAAAAAGTGATAAAAATTAAACTTTGAGGCATTAGAACAGTTTTCATCATTTTACATTTTTAACTCCCTCAAAAAAAAAAAAAGTTCAGTGCATTTCTTTAACCCTAAAAAGGACCAATCGGGAACGAGCATTTATTATTGCTGTGTGTGCTCAACTGTATTCTCTCCTCGCCCAGAGCAGACATGTCAGGCCAGCCTGGATGGCCCCATATGAGTCCGGACCCCTTAGGAGTAGATGAGGGTCATGGGGGCCGTCTCCTGCCAGAGCTCTGACACTCGGAGTTGTGGAGGAGGAACAACTCTCAATAACGAAACCTTGGCTTCTCCTTCATCAATTCCTGACAGGAGCTTTGTTATATTAGAGGTAGGACAGTCACTATGCTGGCACCACAGCCTGACAGGGAGTGAATACAAGCGAATATTCAAAATACATGTCATCTCTGAGAGGTAAGGCCACAATGGTAGAGCAATTCAGGAGGGAGGTGCCCAGTAATGACTGGTTCTCTTTAACATAAATGGGGAAGTTTGCCCTCTGTGCCTTATCAAGATGCCTGCAACAGATATCCCTTTCCTGGACACCAACTAGCTCGGGGGAAAGCCTTCTGTCTGTAGAATTCCGATAGTTCCTTCTTATCTAAAATGTTAAACTTCATATTCTGAGGAACACAATGGGATAGATCGGGATTAAACAGGAACTCAATGGGATGGATCGGGATTAAACAGGAACCCAATGGGATAGATCGGGATTAAACAGGAACCCAATGGGATGGATCGGGATTAAACAGGAACCCAATGGGATGGATCAGGATTAAACAGGAACCCAATGGGATGCATCGGGATTAAACAGGAACCCAATGAGATGGATCGGGATTAAACAGGAACCCAATGGGATAGATCAGGATTAAACAGGAACCCAATGAGATGGATCGGGATTAAACAGGAACCCAATGGGATGGATCAGGATTAAACAGGAACCCAATGGGATGGATCGGGATTAAACAGGAACCCAATGGGATGGATCGGGATTAAACAGGAACCCAATGGGATGGATCGGGATTAAACAGGAACCCAATGGGATGGATCGGGATTAAACAGGAACCCAATGGGATGGATCGGGATTAAACAGGAACCCAATGGGATGGATCGGGATTAAACAGGAACCCAATGGGATGGATCGGGATTAAACAGGAACCCAATGGGATGGATCGGGATTAAACAGGAACCCAATGGGATGGATCGGGATTAAACAGGAACCCAATGGGATGGATCGGGATTAAACAGGAACCCAATGGGATGGATCGGGATTAAACAGGAACCCAATGGGATGGATCGGGATTAAACAGGAACCCAATGGGATGGATCGGGATTAAACAGGAACCCAATGGGATGGATCGGGATTAAACAGGAACCCAATGGGATGGATCGGGATTAAACAGGAACCCAATGGGATGGATCGGGATTAAACAGGAACCCAATGGGATGGATCGGGATTAAACAGGAACCCAATGGGATGGATCGGGATTAAACAGGAACCCAATGGGATGGATCGGGATTAAACAGGAACCCAATGGGATGGATCGGGATTAAACAGGAACCCAATGGGATGGATCGGGATTAAACAGGAACCCAATGGGATGGATCGGGATTAAACAGGAACCCAATGGGATGGATCGGGATTAAACAGGAACCCAATGGGATGGATCGGGATTAAACAGGAACCCAATGGGATGGATCGGGATTAAACAGGAACCCAATGGGATGGATCGGGATTAAACAGGAACCCAATGGGATGGATCGGGATTAAACAGGAACCCAATGGGATGGATCGGGATTAAACAGGAACCCAATGGGATGGATCGGGATTAAACAGGAACCCAATGGGATGGATCGGGATTAAACAGGAACCCAATGGGATGGATCGGGATTAAACAGGAACCCAATGGGATGGATCGGGATTAAACAGGAACCCAATGGGATGGATCGGGATTAAACAGGAACCCAATGGGATGGATCGGGATTAAACAGGAACCCAATGGGATGGATCGGGATTAAACAGGAACCCAATGGGATGGATCGGGATTAAACAGGAACCCAATGGGATGGATCGGGATTAAACAGGAACCCAATGGGATGGATCGGGATTAAACAGGAACCCAATGGGATGGATCGGGATTAAACAGGAACCCAATGGGATGGATCGGGATTAAACAGGAACCCAATGGGATGGATCGGGATTAAACAGGAACCCAATGGGATGGATCGGGATTAAACAGGAACCCAATGGGATGGATCGGGATTAAACAGGAACCCAATGGGATGGATCGGGATTAAACAGGAACCCAATGGGATGGATCGGGATTAAACAGGAACCCAATGGGATGGATCGGGATTAAACAGGAACCCAATGGGATGGATCGGGATTAAACAGGAACCCAATGGGATGGATCGGGATTAAACAGGAACCCAATGGGATGGATCGGGATTAAACAGGAACCCAATGGGATGGATCGGGATTAAACAGGAACCCAATGGGATGGATCGGGATTAAACAGGAACCCAATGGGATGGATCGGGATTAAACAGGAACCCAATGGGATGGATCGGGATTAAACAGGAACCCAATGGGATGGATCGGGATTAAACAGGAACCCAATGGGATGGATCGGGATTAAACAGGAACCCAATGGGATGGATCGGGATTAAACAGGAACCCAATGGGATGGATCGGGATTAAACAGGAACCCAATGGGATGGATCGGGATTAAACAGGAACCCAATGGGATGGATCGGGATTAAACAGGAACCCAATGGGATGGATCGGGATTAAACAGGAACCCAATGGGATGGATCGGGATTAAACAGGAACCCAATGGGATGGATCGGGATTAAACAGGAACCCAATGGGATGGATCGGGATTAAACAGGAACCCAATGGGATGGATCGGGATTAAACAGGAACCCAATGGGATGGATCGGGATTAAACAGGAACCCAATGGGATGGATCGGGATTAAACAGGAACCCAATGGGATGGATCGGGATTAAACAGGAACCCAATGGGATGGATCGGGATTAAACAGGAACCCAATGGGATGGATCGGGATTAAACAGGAACCCAATGGGATGGATCGGGATTAAACAGGAACCCAATGGGATGGATCGGGATTAAACAGGAACCCAATGGGATGGATCGGGATTAAACAGGAACCCAATGGGATGGATCGGGATTAAACAGGAACCCAATGGGATGGATCGGGATTAAACAGGAACCCAATGGGATGGATCGGGATTAAACAGGAACCCAATGGGATGGATCGGGATTAAACAGGAACCCAATGGGATAGATCAGTATTAAACAGGAACCCAATGGGATGGATCGGGATTAAACAGGAACCCAATGGGATAGATCAGGATGAAACAGGAACCCAATGGGATAGATCAGGATTAAACAGGAACCAAATGGGATGGATCAGGATGAAACAGGAACCCAATGGGATAGATCAGGATTAAACAGAAACCCAATGGGATAGATCGGGATTAAACAAGAACCCAATGGGATGGATCAGGATTAAACAGGAACCCAATGGGATGGATCAGGATTAAACAGGAACCCAATAGGATAGATCAGGATTAAACAGGAACCCAATGGGATAGATCAGGATTAAACAGGAACCCAATGGGATGGATCAGGATGAAACAGGAACCCAATGGGATAGATCAGGATGAAACAGGATGCCAATGGGATAGATCAGGATTAAACTGGAACCCAATGGGATAGATCAGGATGAAACAGGAGCCCAATGGGATAGATCAGGATTAAACAGGAACCCAATGGGATAGATCAGGATTAAACAGGAGCCCAATGGGATAGATCAGGATTAAACAGGAACCCAATGGGATGGATCGGGATTAAACAGGAACCCAATGGGATAGATCAGGATTAAACAGGAACCCAATGGGACGGGGTAGGATTAAACAGGAACCCAATAGGATAGATTGGGATTAAACAGGAACCCAATGGGATGGATCGGGATTAAACAGGAACCCAATGGGATGGATCAGGATTAAACAGGAACCCAATGGGATGGATCGGGATTAAACAGGAACCCAATGGGATGGATCGGGATTAAACAGTAACCCAATTGGATGGATCGGGATTAAACAGGAACCCAATGGGATGGATCAGGATTAAACAGGAACCCAATGGGATGGATCAGGCCTATACACAATATTGTACATTCTTAATTTGGTCATGTAAACAGAGGATCACATTGGCTGTCAGTGGACCTGGAGGACTATTGGTTGGTGGTCAGGCTGTGAGTGAGGATGTGGAGCTTCATCCCATTCTGAAGAGTTTCCACAACTATTAAGATATTTTATGTTAAGAAATCAGAGCTGTAAAATGGGGATCTACGTCATTCAGGAAACCTGCTTTGCTTGAACTGTGTTGAGCAGATATGATGGGTGGAGGTTCTCTGGGCCCCGGGGCCCTTCCTGGTCACTGGAATCCACATTGGACTCTAGTTCTATATAGATGACAGTGAATATGGTTCGGTATTATAGGTGGAGGTCTTCTGATGGTGATGTTCTTATACTTGTTGTGTCTTCTCCACAGTGACATTCGGAGACTTGGCATCACGCTTATTGGACACCAGAAGAAGATCCTCACTAGCATCCAGATCATGAGGGCCCAGCTCATAAACACGTTAGGGCCCAGAATGCACTTGTGATGAAGACCCTGAATGAGCCCGATACCTGAATGTGAGAAGAGGACTCGTTACTGAGCCGTGTTTCCTCTCCGGAGGTCATGTGACTGAGAGACCACCAAACCAGCCACATGGCTTTCCTCTTTTAAGTCATGGCAGCCATCTTGTTCCGGGTTCCCCGTGTGATGTGTTTACATAGAGATCTCTTCGTGCTGCGGTCTCGCTATAGCAATAGTACATACAAAGTAATATCTCGGAAATACAGGGTGCTTTCTGTATACAGGGTGGAGCCCGGCCATGCGTCCTGTGAGGTCTCATTATATAAGGATACCAGTAGTCTAGGTGTGCCAACCTATGGAACCTCATATGGAGTCCAGTGACTTTGCCCCCTTGGGTGTGAGGGCCTATGGAACCTCATATGGATTCCAGTGACTTTGCCCCCTTGGGTGTGAGGGCCTATGGAACCTCATATGGAGTCCAGTGACTTTGCCCCCTTGGGTGTGAGGGCCTATGGAACCTCATATGGAGTCCAGTGACTTTGCCCCCTTTGGTTTTGGGGCCTATGGAACCTCATATGGAGTCCAGTGGCTTTGCCCCCATTGGGTGTGAGGGCCTATGGAACCTCATATGGATTCCAGTGACTTTGCCCCCTTGGGTGTGAGGGCCTATGGAACCTCATATGGAGTCCAGTGACTTTGCCCCCTTTGGTTGTGAGGGCCATGGGAACCTCATATGGATTCCAGTGACTTTGCCCCCTTGGGTGTGAGGGCCTATGGAACCTCATATGGGGTCCAGTGAGCCCTCCCCCGCAGGCCCGTCTACCAATGAAACCTCACATGGATTTTAGTGGGCCCGCCCTCTCTACTTTTGTGTTTAATGTCAGGAGACCCCAATATGATGTCAGGGGTTGTCCATTATAATTCCATTTTAGGAGGAGGTTGTTCTGCGGTCACTAGACTGAGTTGTCCGCATGGGGGGAGGGGGGGGGTGTCATTCTCTGAGATGACCATTGTGTTCTGTGATGGCGACTCCCATGGTGCAATAGTAGCCGAGACACTGCAAGGGCAAGCGTGCAATACTCCCGGGAGGACTGGAGGCCTTTCTACAGACCGCTGTGGTGTAATACAGAGATATATGACGCAGGATAATATACAGAGATATATGACGCAGGATAATATACAGAGATATATGACGCAGGATAATATACAGAGATATGTGACGCAGGATAATAGACAGAGATATGTGACGCAGGATAATATACAGAGATATGTGACGCAGGATAATAGACAGAGATATGTGACGCAGGATAATAGACAGAGATATGTGACGCAGGATAATATACAGAGATATATGACGCAGGCTAATAGACAGAAGTATGTG